GCGGTTATAAGGCGATAGGCGAGTTCGATAGGCGCACATGTTGCTTTCGGGATTGCCGGTTCACGCCGTGGGGGGTCTACTTGGAAATTTAATTAACGAGGCGGTTCGATCGGGAAGGGTTGCGTGTATATCCGCGCCGCACCTGAGACCTTGTTCGTGTTCTGTATCGTATTTAAGGAATTTTGTCAGTTTAACCGCTTAACTATTTTTACGGCGCGATCAGCCGACAAATCCCGGCGCAACTTCGCAACGAGAACTATGCGAGACAAAACGATTCCGATATTCGTAACTTTATTGCAACTTTTAATCGACAGTTTACTGATTTATCGTGACTGTTTTAATTGATGTCAATGAGAGGTACGAAGTATCAGAAATGAGCAATTTGGAATTTGCAAAACTGTTGGAAAATTTTTATCTGGAATCGAAGAATTTGAAATTATCTTAATCACCGATGATGATTGTTTAATTAACTTTTAATTGCAACATCGTTGAAAATCAAAGAGTCTACTTGATTTCGATGTTTTTAATTTAATCTTGTCTCGTAATTAAAATACGAAACAGAAATCAAACACACTTGCTATAATTTACTATCAGACCATTTCAATAGCTAATAAGTACGAAACTGCTAACTCTTCCAATTTCTCCTATTTTCTCTTATCGTACACGCAATTTTTCCGCTTGATGCCGGAGAGAGGAAGAAAAAAAAAGAGAAAGAAATGCCAATGGAAAACGGCAGAAACGGTGCGCAGAGGAACAACAGTAAATAATTCAGCAGGCCGAAGAATTTTCCGAGCGAAATGTTCGAATTGTAATGAGATCACTCGACGGCGAGTGGAAATTACCGACCGTCCGATTATTTCGTTTCCAATTAAACGGCGATGCCCTTACGGATGTAAATCGTTGCGAGATACTCTCGTTAAAAATTCATTGGAACACCTGTATCAAGGGCATTTATCTAAAATCGGTGAGATGGGGAATAGCAGAGAAAGACGCAGGACCCGGCTCATTTGTTATTTACATTTTCCGCGGTTCACGCGTTCGAATTCCATGAATACGAATCGCTGCTGTCGAAAACAGAAAAAAGAAAAAAAAAAAAAGAATTGATTAACCACGCATCGCGCCCACGCATCGAAAGAACGTGATTACACCTGGGCTATTATCATACAATCGAGATGATATCCTTGTTGCAAAGGGTCAGTTATATCGGCTAATCTATTTTCATGAAAATAAGAAGAATAATCAAGAGAATTTTGATGGCCTTTGTGCCTCGTGGTTGCTATGGTACTTTGAATAAGCTCAACCCAGGAATGATAAAAAAGAAATTAAGTTTCTTTTCTTTTTCTTTTTTTTTTTGGTTAATCTTCGCGCCTCGGAACATTTATTTTAACTTTTATAGAAATTATTAATATTAATAATTTTAATATTCATATATATTAATAATATTATAAATAATATAATATATTAATAATTTTAATATTAACAGATGTTAATAATATATTTATAATATTATAAACAGTATAATATATTAATAATATTAATATTAATAATTTTAATATTTGTAGATGTTGGAGTTATAAATACTGCATCGATACACAAATCGTAATGGTTTAAGAACTGTATATTTCAACTTTCACGAGTAGATATTTCTTTAATTTTGCAATTAACTTTCTGCATCATGGTTAACGTAAGTAGTGTATTCTTTTTGGCCGAAAGTTTCTAAACTTTCAAAAAAAATCAGCAAAAACTCTGAAATGGTCATCGAGCTGTAAATTCGTAAAACGTTGTTCAGGGAAAAAAATAAGAATCGGCTCCGAACGAAATTCAAAAGTGTAAAAACGTTCCAACGAGTGCAAACGATAACACAAAAGATTGTCCGCGGAGCAAGTAACAATTTACGTTGTGATCAACATTATATCCTTGCAAATTGCACGGAGGAAGAAACTAACTTTTTTTTAATTCGACACATTTTATCATTTGCAATGCTTCACTTTGGCGATACTACTATACCACGTCATTTTCAATCAAACGATCGACATAACAATCAACGTTTCACGAAAATTCCAAAAAAAACTGTCGCTCACTCGTTCTTCAAAATTCGTTCGCGTCGAAGAGCACGAAACAAATTCTAAATATTCGCGACGATTATTCAGCAAAGGTTGCTCCATCTGTTTTAAAACCGATGCCTCGTACAGTGCACGGGGACGGGGGCGGGGGGTTTAATTAAAAGATACATAAACACACGCACGCAGACGCGCGCGCAATTAAAACAAGAACTCGAAACAGCGGAAAGAAAGTGGTGGGAAATTTTCTGCCGTGGCGTATCAAATTATGGAATCGTTCGTTTCGGTTAAGTAAACTGCAGCCAGACCGGGGCATTTTCAGCAAATAAGTTCCAGGTAAATAAATTTTTCTACTTGTTAATGCCGCGCGGCGCAATGGCCGCCCCAACCACCCCTTCGTCGATATGCTCGCCTTTCTGTATTTACCCCTTTATTGTCTCGCCGCGGCGTATTGGAAATCGAGAGAATTTCGAAACATTTATCAAAGGAACAGCGTTTATAAATGGGGGGGAATTTCATTCGCTGAACCGGCCCCTGGGTATTTTTCCCCTCCCCGATTGGAAATAAAGAAGCACTGTATCATTTACGAGGCTGTTTAATATCATGCAGTGTAAATAATTCAGTTATCGAGCTGAAACTCGCTGCCCCGGAGCGAGTGACCAACCCTTTCGCAAGTATATATCAGGACACGCGTGTAAATCATTCGGAAATTACGAAGGAAATATTTTCTTGAAAATATTTTCCTTCCATTTATGTTCAGTGTTGCAATAATAATTTCATCAATTGGAAATTGAGTCCATTTACGAACGTGTCACAGACGTTTTCCGTATATTATATTATATTATATATATTTATTATATTTATATTATATTATATCACATTGTATTCATGCTTTTTTTTGTTATAATACAATTTATAATAAAACTATAATTACAAGTTACAATAGTATTTGGGCTAGGTAGCCAATTATTGTGATTCCATCGAATATAGAATTAGAAATTATTGCAATTTTATTAGTATGACAATCGAACCCATCGATCACTGATTTCAGACTTTCGTCCGAACTTGAAAATTTCGGGTATTTTTGTCGAAATTGATATTAATTTCAACTTAGAACAGAAACATAACCGTTAACTGCAAATCTATTTGTTTTAACTATCCTTTAAATCATAATGATTTACACGCAGCATGTATGTTTATTTACATTGATATTTCTGGGCAATCAAAATCAAGTAATCAATATAATCAAACACGTGAAAGTGTTGACGAATTAAACATAACAAGTGCTCTCCCTCGCTGTTACTCATCAGGGGAAGCGCATACGTAAAATTTTGATTCACGCATCGTACGACCAAAATAGAAGTGGCCGAAACGCTTGCAAATGAGAATGCACATCTTTGAAACAGTGTAAAATAAAGTCGAGGGTAAAGCATGAGTTCAACAATAACGTGTGTTGCACCAATTTCATACGAACTTTTATGGTATTTTACACTTTCCCCTATAAAGTTGGCCGTGGTTCACGGCTGCTCCGGATCTGGCCGCATAATGTAAACCAAAATTAACGACCTTGCTTTACACAACCTATCCTTTCACTCTCTCTCTCTCTCTCTCTCTCTCTCTCTTTCTCTCTTCTCTTTCGTACGCGAGTGAAAACAAATTCGTACGGAGCAGGAATTTAATAACGCGGCTAAAGCGACAACGCGAAGAGCAAAAAGAGTAGATACGGTAGATACTCCTTTGAGCGTGGCGTGAAGGAAAAAAGAAAGAAAGAAAAAAAAAAAAAAAAAAAAAAAAAAAAAAAAAAAAAAAAAAAAAAAAAAAACAAAAAAAATTGGAAAGAAGAAAAAATAAAGAAGACAGGCAGCCATCGTCGTCGCGATATTAATCGCGGAACGATATGAAGGTAACGGCACCGGTGTTCGAACATAGTGAGATGATATCAGAGGGATAACGCAACAGGGGGAAGGAGAGACACGTGTCCAAGGTATTTTTTAATAAATAACGCGGTCCCAGTGCCCTCGTCTCGCTCGTGTTTGGCGACGCGCGCCTCTCCGTCGCGTAATTTGCATTTAAAATTCATCAGCCAGTGGATTACGACGCGTAGCGACGGATCTACGGTTCGAATCTCACAATCAGTCACCAAGAGACTCGAGAAGTTTATCGACGGACTTTAAAAATTCGTGTCGATTCGACTATGACTTGCGCGAACAGTTCGGAAATCTTGCAATAATTGAAAATTATCTGCTCGCGCAGAGACAATGAATAATTTAACTTCGTATAATTTACCTAATACATAATATATAATAAAAAAAATAATAAATTATATAATATACATTTTATTATATAAATATATAATAAAATTTATATAATATATTTTACATAATATATAATATAATTTAAATACAATTTATTTATTTCACAATATGTAATATAATAACTTTATTATAATTTCACCGTAATATTTACAATTACAATTGTCCCATCAAAATTATGCTTTATTCCAGATTTGATATCAAACGAATATAACAACAAAGAATTTAACATTATTTATTTGTTTTAATATTAATTTATTATCCATCGTTTGAAGATTTTTCCTTACACGTCTGTGCACGTATGTATAATATTTTCAGATACAGAGTAGAGATTTAAATGATTTCTCGTGAAATTCTCTTTTTAACCATAATGTTTCCGATGAAAATTGTTTTGCTTCCATCGTTTGCTGTTAAAGATTGGCAATGCTTGTGAAACGTACGAGTCTGTGAAATCTTCGAGAGTTCGAAGGCATCGAATTATATTCGAAACGATTCGAAATGCTTCGAACCAACAGCGTGACGCGTAGAGGCCCACGAATTTCAAATCTATTACGTACTATTACGGCGTTAAATCTGTTATAATTACTGTTGGATAGGTATCAGAGAATAATTCTCATTGTGTACTAACCTCCACGAGAGTGATGAGGATGATGAAGAGAGGCGGTGGACAACACCTGTAATGGTCGGCGTAGTATTTCCGGTCCCTTTCTTCCGTTAGGAATTCATCGCCGATCATGCGGACCATCCTGCAATCAAGGACATATCACTCTTGTTACTAGATTCGATCAAAGCAGACTTTGAATATTTCAAAAATGTCTACTTAATAGACATCTTTATCGTGATTAAATTATTTCATTATCTGGCTATCGATCGAAACGTATCTTCATTTCCCCTTTCGCTGTGTTTCGTACTCGTATTCGTCTTTTAATTATCATAATTTCAATTTCAATGTTTTAATTACACATTTATTCCGACCGAATTAACTCGAATGAAAGATCATCTGCAAACTCGATTTGCTCGTGGCTTGAGATTGTTGGTTCGAATAAAATTTGTCCAGTCCCGCGTGAAAGTATACACTCACAGTCTTGATTTAAATAAAAAAGAAAAAAAAAAAACAAATTTGTCACTGATTCAGTATCCTTGTAAGATTACGAACGTCAATTCTTTTGAATCGGAAATTTTCATCGATACTGTACAAAAATATATAAAACGCGTTCGAAAGTATGAGGAACTACTTGAAAGGTAAGAATTGAATAAAAGGGAAAAAAATATTTTTATAATAATAATTAATACAGAAAAAGATGAGAAAAAATAAAAATTAATATATAAAGATTATGACATCGAATAGTTGCTATTAACAGCAGATACTCAACGTTTGCGTGAAAAGATAGAAACGAGGCGAGGAGCTTTGAAAACGCGAAGCCCGCGATTCGGACCATGAAACTCCGGTGCACAACGAAACAACGGATTTATCGAGGCGGAATTATGAAAATTATCGGAATCGTTAGGCACCTTTTTCTTTTGCAGCGTTTGAAAATTAATCTGTCAGCGGCCCGCAGCGATTCTCCAACTAATCACCCGAACTCTTCGCCACCCCCAGGAATTTTCGCGCGAAGAAATAGTCGCGAGCCCCTCGTTAATCGTCGCCAGGGGTAGCGAAATAATGAGAAATTAATTTTACCGATTCGACTTGCCGCCGCGAGTAAAAACGAAAAAAAAAAAAAAAAAAAAAGAAAAAAATACTCTCGCGCAATTACGACTGACTTTTGCCATCGAGGATTCCTCATTATCTCGATATTCTGTCGATGTCTGACAGACGTTCGACGTCGTGACCTCACGATGCAAGAAAGTTCCTACGAGTGTTGATAACAATCACAGTTAACTACACAGTTTTAACAGATTGTGTGCTCCCGATTTTGTTTCGTCTTTGTTCGATTTTGTCTCTCTTATATTTGGTTTACATCTCAATTATTAGTCTACATGTGAATAAATTAAATTTATTTAAAAAAAACTAGATATTAATAAATACGATAAACATTTAATTTCTATATATATATTTATTTATTTTTATTTTACAAAAATAATATATATATATACATATATGTGTATATATTTAGATCATTTACTTTCGAGATAATTAAAATTATTAAAATAAATTAATTAATATACAAAAGGTACGAAATAAATTTTACTTATCTACTTTTAAAAAAGTTCATTTTCATTACTTTAAACTATAAATAATATTATTAATTTTAAATCATTACTAAAATATATTTCTATTATAAAACTTTATTAAATTATATAAATTTTATAAATTACACACACACACACACACATATATAAATTTGTTAAATATTTCAAAAAGAAATTGAAAAAGACAAAGAAAAGTTTCACGAGTCTTTATTTAATTCATGAGCTAAATTAGATCGATTTAAAAATATCGGTAATGTGTTGTGTTATGTTTGTTCAAAAAAACAAACATACAGCAAACTTAAAACTTACTTTGATGATAATAATAATAATTTATTTGTACACGTACATATATATATATAAATTATATAGAATCGATTTCGTGATTTCTTTTCTTTCGATTTGTCTTCCAATAAAGAAATTTGAGAAGCATGACAACCTCAACTTCAATAAATAATTTCGTGTCTATGGAATCGCGATGAATTTGAAAGAGCTGTCGATTTTTCATGAACTCGCGCAATAAAATAATTATTACAAAATATCGTTGAAAATATTTCCAGCTCGGCATTGCTCGTGTACATAGTCATGAAAACGACTGACGTTCTCGGCCGACACACCGATGCAACGTATTGATTTAACAAAACGTAATTTGAGAATTTCGAAAAATATCATGTGGGCGTACAGCATGCGGAGTTGTATTGTGATACAGTTGTAAACCGATACAAATTAAACATTTCTCGTAAACACGAGAGATCAGGAAACGTACAAAATCATGGAGGACTCTGGAGAACATCAAGGAGACTACAGTTTCGGTATTAACTTCTTACAATTTTTCCATGTATCGTCTGGCATTACTACTACGGTTATATCGATGTAAATCGAATCCGTATGAATGAGTTACACTGCAAATTACACTGTAAATTAACAATGATAATATTTATCGTAAGTTCTACGACCGTGAGGTTAGGATAAAATCAACAAATAAATATAACAGCTCCCGGGTACTAAAAAGGTTGAATATTTTATCGAATTCTGCTCGAAGATATGCTCGAAAACAAATGTTGGTGTATTTCTTAGATGTTCAAGCAATCCAATTGCGATGAAATCTACGAGAAACGTTGGCGCACAGCGCCGAAATATGAAAATCGTTGGTAAAATATTACTCGGTCGACTGTGATTTTAATTCACAGTGACACGAACTTATCGATGAACGGAATTCGCCTCGAAATAACGAATGAATGCGAAATGTTTGCACTAATCTCTTCCGTTGGGATGATAGGAAATAAATGGCGCCATTCGTATCTTCCTACCAGCGGATTTTCATTCAACCGGTCGATCAAAGTATTAATTACACGTTTGTCAATCAACTTTGCGAAATTGTTCGTTTCGTTTTAATTTCACTTGCTCCCCGCAGTTGTATCTTTTCATACATCAGTTATATTACATGATAGTATATCTTAAATACATCATGCAAAATCTTTGGATAGTACATTAATAATATCGAAAAATTTATGATCACTTTAACGCTATAAACAATTAAAATAAACAACTGATATGATTTACGAGGATATTTATCTGATATTTATCTGCACATCTATTACATTTCATTTTTATTTAGTATCTGTTTGATCTGTTCTATCGATTATTCATGAATGTACATTGACTTAAATTATAATTGTAATAAATGATTAAATATATAATCGTATAATTATTATAATAATTATCATTTAATATATTGATTTAAATTATATTATAATCATAATAAATGTACAATTGATGAAATAGGCATTAATTAACTGTTATATTACATGGTAGTATATCTTAAATACATCTTGCAAAATCTTTGGATAGTACATCAGTAACATTGAAAAATTTATGATCGCTTTAACGCTATAAACAATTAAAATAAACAATTGATATAATTTACGAGGACTCTAATATTTACCTGCACATCTATTATATTTCATTTTTATTTACTATCTATGTTTTATCCGTTCTATCGATTATTCATGAATGTACATTGATTTAAATTATAATTGTAATATATGATTAAATATATAATCGTATAATTATTATAATAATTATTATTTAATATATTGATTTAAATTATATTATAATCATAATAAATGTACAATTAATGAAATAGGCATTAATTAACTGTTATATTACATGGTAGTATATCTTAAATACATCTTGCAAAATCTTTGGATAGTACATCAGTAACATTGAAAAATTTATGATCGCTTTAACGCTGTAAACAATTAAAATAAACAACTGATATAATTTACGAGGACTCTGATATTTATCTGCACATGTATTACATTTCATTTTTATTTAGTATCTGTTTTATCTGTTCCATCGATTATTCATGAATGTACATTGATTTAAATTATAATTGTAATATATGATTAAATATATAATCGTATAATTATTATAATAATTATAATTATATAATGATTTAAATTATATTATAATCATAATACATGTACAATTAATAAAATACGCATTAATTATACAACTTTGAGATATTTCACTATTACGTTAATAAAGAATCTAATCTTCTACTGTCTTAGAATGATGAAAGTTCTAAATTCTACAATTTAATAACCTACAGTGAAGAATTTTTACTTTGACAGTCCCGAGTTCGTTTTTTTTTTTTTTCAAAGATGATTTTAAATCACGTAACATCCCCAATCGTTTTTATAACGAGATTATGAGAAACTTGCTGTTTCTTGCGATTTCCTTTTCTTTCTTTCTTCCTTTTCTCTCTGTTTTTTTTTTTTTTTTTTTTGTATTTTATTGAACTTTGAATATGGCACGGCAGAGATAAAATCGTACGGCACATTCGAAGAGATCGTTGCGAAAAGGAGATTTCAATCTTCGAGGTGAGATCGTGATAGCTCTGGTCACGAAAGCCATTTTTTTACTATTCTCAAAGACGTTGTCTCAAACTTTCACGATGCTCGAGAGGAAAGTAAGTACTATCTTCCCACCCGACACGTAACGTGGACTCATCTAACGTGGAAAAACTGAACTCCGAGACTGCGAGACTAGAAGCCTCGTGCTTTCAAACAAAAGGCTAAGTGGATCGTCGTTATAAGCTATAACAGTTTAAATTACCGTCAATGTTTCATCGTTGCTGCTCTTCCCTCCGTCTCGCTGTTTCTCGCAATACTCGAACGAATGTTAAAACAATAATCGAGCAAAAGGAAGAAAGAAAAGGGGAAGAGTATCGTAGAAAGATAAACTTGAAACGAGATAAGGGAGTACGCGCATAAACGCAGCCGGTGTTCTCGATAGTAATCTTCCGTACCCGTGGAATAATTACGAAGAAATATTGGCCCGTAACTCAACGTGGTAACCATAACACCTAAACACGTTTATGGTATCGGAGATAAACCATCTCCTTCTGTGTTTCTATTGACCGAGGGTGGAAACCGCTCGAAACGAGGGTGGACGAGGAGAGATCAATTAAAGAGAGAGAGAGAGAGGACCCCGTTGCTATATGCGAGCATAGTAAGCGAACAAACGCAAAGAAAGAGAAGGAAAAAAAGAG